TCTAGTTTCAAGGGTCTCTAGTTTTCTTGTCTTTTGGCAATAGCCATTCTAGTTTCTCTTTTCAATATACATACTTATTATTCATATTTTGTTACTTTTCTTTGAGTGAAGGCTTACTTGTCTGAACTGTTTTTTCATCAAGTTCTTGTCCTTGACAGTATGTGGCGAATATAATTCGTCGCATCATAGATTTCCTCGACATATGATGATCGCTCCTTGTGGAACTCCTCCCTAGAAGGGGGGGTAATGTCATGGACATAATCATGTAAGCTAGTAATTACATATACAAATAGGTAGAAGTAAATAAAAGTAAGTTAAAATAAGTAAATTCTATAGTATTTAATATGAAAGCTTCCTAGAAGCTTTATAGACGCTGCTTTGACTTTATAGGTGTCTTTAATTGACTTTTTGGATTAAAAACGTGGTCAACATGTTAGCCATGTGCCACACATGTTGTTAGCTTGAAGATCAAACTAACTATGTGCCCCACACGTAGAAGAACTTGCCTTGTAAGTCAAGGCATGTGTCCTACAAAGTCAACACATATTAGAGGTCCTATAGAACGTTGCCACATAGCTCTTAGTTCGATAGTATATATAGAGACAAGAGTGAAGCCTTCTTCACTCTTGTCAACTCCTTTCTTGCTTCTAGTCTAGTTTCAAGGGTCTCTAGTTTTCTTGTCTTTTGGCAATAGTTATTCTAGTTTTTCTTTCAATATATATCCTTATTTATATATTTTTTGTTACCTCTCTTTGAGTGAAGGCTCACTTGTCTGAATGATTTTTTCATCGAGTTCTTGTCCTTGACATATTGTCTAGGTAATTATTGGAATAAATATGTATATTTGTAAGAATGATTTGGCTATGTAGTACATGTCATAGAAACTTGTCTTAAAAATTTGATACATATTTTTATAAGTTGAACACATTTTGAATAACTCATAGGAATTCACCACATAGATCTTTAATTAGATTGGATATATAAAAATGAAGCATTTTTTACTCTTATTAATATATTTTTTGTATTCTTCTCTGAACTCAAGAATCTCTAGTATCTTTGTATTTGGCAATAGCTATTATAGTTTCTATCTTATATTTGTCCTTGATTTGCCATTTTTTTATTTATTTTGAATGTCATAAGAATGTATTTTTTTTTTTTTTTTTTTTTTTTTTTTTTTTTTGTAATTTTATTATGATTCATATCTTTGACAATTTAACAAGTATGCAAGTATATTATTCTTATTTTGTTATACATGTATATCAAAGAGAGATAATATATATATATATATATATATAAGAAAAAACTAAAATAGCTTTTCTAAAGACTTAACAACTAAAGAATCTTGAAATTACAATAGAAATAAGAAAAAGATTGTCAAAAGAGAGAAAGGTTTCATTATTGCCTTTGCATATACTATCTAACTAGCAACTATGTGATAACATTTTATTGGACCTCCAACACATGTCTAATTTGTAAAATAAGTATCTAACTTGTAAGACAAGTTTCTTATATATGCGCAACTTGTAACACAAGTAGCTAACATGTGTAATACAAAGCCAAATTGTTGGCTAAGTTTTTAACCTAACAATCACATGCTCATACTTATAAAGTCAAATCAATCTCTATAAAGCTTCCAATAAATTTTTCTATAAGGTACTACATAACTTATTAAAGGTTACTTATTTCTATATATATATATATATATATATATATAAATTAATCTAGATAAACATTAATGTGAGTTATGTATATAATATTATCTAATAAATATAGTTAGATAGTGCTTCTTTCTTTTCCTTTCAACACCAAACTTGCCTATCAAACTTCAATTGATTTATCTTAGTCTTGTCACATTACACAATTTTTTGCTTGTCTTCAATAATGTAATGATTGTATTAATTAACAAAGTCTAAATCCACCTGATGGAAATAATATAATAGTAACAACTTGATCTTTGGCATTGTTTGTAATCTATTTTCTTTGAGTAAATTAGGTATAATATTTGTACATACAGCCACATTAGCGTCAAAAAAGAGACTTGTATAAGCTTCAATTGTAATATGCATTACATATCTCATAATATTATAGAAGACTTTCCATTTGATTGTAACAAGCAAAAATTATGGTTGGCCTATCATTATAGTAGATCATTGCAAGATACACCTTTTGCATATGCAACCAACTTTTTTAGAACTAATACCAAGTTGAAAAAACAGTTTATGCATTGAAAGCCTATGTTCCAAGAATTATACAATTGTATATTTTATTGTCTTGTACAATAATCGACATGGTGACAATGAAACAATCTGAATGAATGCAACACAATTGTTAGACTAGTAAAGATGTGTTTGAGTATAAACAAAAGAGTGCAAAAACATCCAAAAACATTAAAGAAACAAAAAAAAATGTAAAAAAATTGAAGTGGCACAACAATAATAATAAAAGAGTGATAAAAGAGGTTGCAATGGCGTTTGCAATGAGTAATAACTTAGTCAAAACATCGTCTCAATGAGCTACACATAAATATATGAAAAATTCTTCATCCACAAATATGTTTCATAAAAGCCATCTACATCAAAGACTCTTAAATTATTGGATCAATTATCTAATTGTTGCCATGTTTTAAGAAAAAAGTAAAATATATCAAATTTAAAAATATTGAGAAATTTTTTAAGTCACTATATTTAAGATTGAATATTCTTAATTTTTCTTGTCTACTTACAAAATTTTACTTGAGTCTTTGAACAAGACATAATTATTTTTCTAAATATATGGAAAATATTTTTTTACCTTTGTAATTTTTTTCTTCTTAAAATAAAATATACTAATAATGGATATATTTCTATCTAAATTTATAATGTTAAAAAACTTAATGAATGTCTATAATACCTCACAACAAGGCTAAACAAATTGACTTAGAATAAGAATAAACTTTTTTTTCTAATTTTGTAGAAAATGTTAAACTACAGAAATTTGTATATAATTTCCAATACATAGAATATGAAATATAAAACTTCAAATTGCTAAAATCTCTAATTTTACCTTATTATAAAAATTCCAGAAAATATTTTATAACTGAAACTTTATTACATCACAAAATTTACTTACATTGTTTTTTTTTTTTTAAAACTCGCATTTAATTTCAAGTCAAAATATTGACATTGCTGTTCTTTTTTTTATAAATGTAGTTTTTTTAAAATAGAAAATAAATAATTTATTGTTATTTTAAATATCATGATTAAAACAAGTCTTTTTATAAAATTCCAAAAAAGAATTAGAAAACTATAAAACCTTTCATGGTCACAAATAATATAATTCCTTATTTCCAGTCTGTACAGGCAACTTGTTATATTTTCTAATCTTTCTATACTAGCAATACTTGCATATTAGTGACATGTTATATTATCATATTCAAGCACCAATACAATAATGTTTTAATAACTAATTTTTATCATTCTTTGTGGTATTAAATTAAAATATGTCTATATATACATATATATATATATATATATATAGAGAGAGAGAGAGAGATAGATAGATACATAACAAAAAAAATTGTAGGCAAATGAATTGAACTTAAATAAATGCTAAAAATTCAAATGGAGGGATAACAATTGAAATATGGCCTATTCTTACTTATATTATCTCCAAATTCTAAGACTTGCAAAAAAACAATTTTTCTTTTAATAATCTAAAGATATTCATAATTTTTTTTGAGGAATGGCTTTTAAACTGAAAATTTAAAAAACAAAATTCCTTCATAATTTCTTAAAATGTGTAATTTTTTTGGTTTTGAGTGTATTCATAAGTAGCTACAAACCCTTGTAAAGATGTAACAATCATTCTTTGTAATTGATTTTGAATATATCTTATTATTGTTTACTAATTTACATCATTATTTTACAAAAATGAAGATATTTGTGGAGATATAAATTGCAACCTTGACACCACATCACGATGCCTAGAAAATCAGGGCCAACAGAATGATTTGACATTGTACATGATATGTCCATTTACTAAAAATAAAACTATATTCTTGTATTGTTGATGCAAATTTATTTTAGGGTGCTTTTGGGATGAGGACTAGATAAATCACTCATGTAAATTTTTCACACATGTCCTTGTGTATGTATACATACTACATGGAACATTTTAGCTTATTTTTCATCTTAAATTATCCATTGTTTCACCCATATTTTCCCGTAAAATTTATTTTCATGGCTATTATCATTTACTGTCAAGTTTTCAGCTCATGCACTGGGAAAATGTCCTCCAAATGCAAACTCCCTCTCATTATCAATCTTGGCCCCTTACACAATTTTTCTTTCATTTCCAGCCACTTATTGTCCCTCTCTCTCTCTCACATCTCCTACTCCCACTTGGAAGCTCCTTCCCATAAGGCAGTGGTGCTTCCAGTTTCTCAAGGCAATTTAATACTCAAGCTCGGCCAGGCACTCCCAGCCAATTCATTTATCAGCATTCAAATAACATAAAAGAGCTCTTGTCTCCCCTCACCCTCATGGCTCCATTCCCCATTGCCAGCCACCCAAATGACATGCCTGCCTCACAAACAGCCAGGGCTGTAGCTAAAATGTAGTAGTATGTGGTATGACTTCCCATGGCAGGAGTCAATTAAAAGAAAGAGCCCAGGGAAAAAAAATTGAAATAGAAAGAGCTGTCAGTTCGGGAGCAGAGAAGCCCTAAAAAAATGCTAGTCGTTGGGTTAGTCTGACCGAACCTGACCCTCTGTAGGCACGGGCCGAACAGTGCCCATTTTGTCGAAGCTAGGTTCGGAACCGTGCCTGAGCTCGAACCTCCTCCTCATGAACTGCGTGGCCTATCTTGGCTAAACCCTCGGTTCCGAACCTATCGTCCAAGTTTCAGTTACTGGGCTTCGGAAGCCCGATGCCCCAGCTTCGGGATGAGCTTCCTCGGATAGGATGCTCTAGCCTGGGTTCCGAGCCTGTGACGGCAAAGCGGCGAGCCTACGGGTTCGGTTTCCAACCTGGGGGAGATAAGGGTAGTGCGGGAACCCTCTGATTGTTTCTTCTCTCGCTTGCGAGGCTCGTGCTAACAGCCCACCGCATTGAGCCTCCCTCAGACTACGCCATAGACAGTCATAGTCGTAGCGAGAAGCAGTGGAGTGCTAAACGCGAGTCGCAATGGTTCTGGGGACGACGTTTGTGCTGGTCTTCGTGCCAGCATCAGCCGTCGTGGGCATTTTGTTTGCCCTCACTCAGTGGTTCATCGTGTCGAAGATCCAGGTTGGCGCTGGTCGCGTCTCCAACAATGGCTACATGCATGTGGACGAGGATGGTGTCGACGATTCAGAAGTGAATGCCAAGTGTGCTGAGATCCAGGCCGCCATCTCCGAAGGTGGGTTGTTTTCCTCAATTCTTCATGTAAACGTGATTCAATTTCTTTTGAGATTCTTGTGTTGCCAATGTATGTATAGATGCCTCGTTTCGCAGGAAAATCTTCTTTAGTCCGTTTATTCTCCGCACACAATGTTCCCTGCATCTGTCAAGCTTCGGTTAAATGAATCGTGGTCTACCGGTAGTGAAGTTGGATTATAAGTTCTACATGTTCTCGGGGCTTGGTTTGAGAGTCAATTTCTCAAACGCATCAACAGCGTCTTTCTAAATCCCGGAAGTCGAGCACTTGGAAACTCAGTGTGAAAATTTTGAGCTGACAGTATGAACAACTAGATGTTGACAAGATGTTGACTTGTCGATCAGTGTGCTTAACTTTCACCATGGGCAGTTGAGTCCTCTGTGGCTGCTGTCAACTACACAGCTTAACTAACACTAGAAAGAGTCCCATTAGCTCTTTAACGTGACTTCATCTAGGCATGTTGACTCTGGCGGCACACAGAGCCATTCCGGTGAATGGAAATCTTACCCTCCGCACGTATAACCTAACGCATTCCCTGGTAATTTGAATGTAATATACTTCAGCCACCCTCATTTGCATCCGATCTTATTCTCAGCTGAGATTGGCACCCAATTCTCGAATTGATTGTCCTTCCTCGATCTATTTTCGACCATGTCCGGTCTTTCACTTTCAGTCTAGAGTTGTGTGTGTTTAAACTAGTATCCAGACAGCCCTGGTCACGTTGAAATTTTATCCTTTCACTCGTAGTTAATCAAACTGCGCTCTGCAGGTTCCGAGGCATTCTTGACGACAATGTACACGTACTTGGCAATCTTCATGGGGTTGTTCTCCGTGATCATCTTCGTGTTCCTTGCCTCCGTGGGCGGGTTCAGCTTCGATAGGCAGCCATGCGACTACGACCAGACGAAGTCGTGCCCTTCGTCCATTGCGAGTGCTTTCTTCAGCACTGTGGCGTTCATTCTGGGAGCACTGACGTCGACGCTGTCCGGGTACTTGGGGATGAAGATCGCGACGTACGCGAACGCTCGGACGACCCTGGAGGCCCGCAAGGGTGTGGGGAAGGCGTTCGCGATCGCGTTCCGGTCGGGAGCCGTGATGGGATTCCTGCTGGCTGCGAACGGTCTGCTTGTGCTGTTTTTGACGATTTTGGTGTTCAAGTTGTACTTCGGCGACGACTGGGTTGGTCTGTACGAGGCCATCACCGGGTACGGTCTGGGAGGATCTTCGGTGGCCCTGTTCGGGCGCGTGGGAGGAGGAATCTACACGAAGGCGGCGGACGTGGGCGCGGACTTGGTGGGGAAGGTGGAGCAGAACATCCCCGAGGACGACCCCAGGAACCCGGCGGTGAGTGGGCGGAAGTGCGTGGTGGTTTGGGAGGGGAGGGGATGGTGGGGAGTGGGAGTTGTATTGGGAGGAGCTGACATGACATGGGGGTGGTGAGGATGGCAGGTGATTGCGGACAACGTGGGAGACAATGTGGGAGACATCGCGGGAATGGGCGCGGACCTGTTCGGGTCATTCGCTGAGTCGACGTGCGCGGCGTTGGTGGTGTCATCGATCTCGTCGTTCGGGAACGACAAGAACTTCGTGGCGATGTGCTTCCCTCTGCTGATCAGCTCGGCGGGTATTTTGGTGTGTTTGTTGACGACGTTGGTGGCGACGGACATAATGAGCGTGAAGGGAGTGAAGGAGATCGAGCCGACGCTGAAGAGGCAGTTGGTGATCTCGACGGTGCTGATGACGGTGGCGATATTTTTGATATCGTGGTTCGGGCTGCCGGAGACGTTCACGATCAACGTGGTGGGGCACGAGGCGAAGGTGGTGAAGAACTGGCACATATTTTTCTGCGTGGGATCGGGTCTGTGGGCTGGGCTGATCATCGGGTTCGTGACGGAGTACTTCACCAGCAACGCGTACACGTAAGTGGCGGGGTGGTGGTGGTGGTGGTGGTAATGGTGGTTAGAGGAGGAGGATGGGGAGTGACATGGTTGGATGGGGAGGGGTGTGCAGGCCTGTGCAAGACGTGGCGGACTCGTGCAGGACGGGAGCGGCGACGAACATCATCTTCGGGCTGGCGCTGGGATACAAGTCGGTGATAGTGCCGGTGTTTGCGATCGCGGTGGCGATCTATTTGAGTTTCAGTTTGGCGGCGATGTACGGGATCGCGGTGGCTGCGTTGGGAATGCTGAGCACACTGGCGACGGGTCTGGCGATCGACGCGTACGGTCCGATCAGTGACAATGCGGGAGGTATCGCGGAGATGGCGGGAATGAGCCACGAGGTTCGGGAGAGGACGGACGCTCTGGACGCGGCCGGGAACACGACGGCAGCGATCGGGAAGGTGAGCGGAGGGGGTCGCGTGGAGGTGTAGGATGTGTGTGTTTGAAGTTGGGATGAGTTGGAGGATGAGGAGGTGGTGGATGACACGATGACATGAGATGGGTTATGGTGCAGGGATTCGCGATCGGGTCGGCAGCGCTGGTGTCGTTGGCGCTGTTCGGGGCGTACGTGAGCAGGGCGGGAATCGCGAGCGTGGACGTGATCCAGCCGAAGGAGTTCGTGGGGCTGATCGTGGGAGCAATGCTGCCGTACTGGTTTTCGGCGATGACGATGAAGAGCGTGGGGAAGGCGGCGCTGGCGATGGTGGAGGAGGTGCGGAGGCAGTTCAGGACGATCCCGGGGCTGATGGAAGGGACGACGAAGCCGGACTACAAGAGGTGCGTGAAGATATCGACGGACGCGTCGCTGAAGGAGATGATTCCGCCGGGCGCGCTGGTGATGCTGACGCCGCTGATCGTGGGGACGCTGTTCGGCGTGGAGACGCTGGCGGGGCTTTTGGCGGGTGCATTGGTGTCGGGAGTGCAGGTGAGAGGGGTGTGGGATGTGGTTTGGTGAGTGGGGTGACGGAGGTGGGAAAAGCGAAGGGGAGTTGACGGGAGGGGGATGTGTGTGGGGATGTGGCAGATCGCGATATCGGCATCG